ACCTTTCTACTTTGCTTGACAACAAAATATGAAATTAATGAATGTGTTTATTACTCTTGCGTGCTGATGGGTGGGCACCAGAGTCCCTTCGTCTTTGGGATATGATACATAGAGAGAGCGAATTTGTCAAAGCCCATAAGATAGGTTTACATAATTGTGAGCCTGTGTTTGTAATACCAGTAAACATTTGGGGGAAGAACTAATAGGAGAACACGTGTCTCTCAACCTGGACTCTGTAGTAGCGCCAGCCAGTAGGACTGTCTGCAGGGGTGGAAATGTTCTCCATCTGCACTGGCGTCCTGGTAACCACGAGCTACGCTGAGCACCCGAAATGTGACTGGTTCATTTGAGGGGCTTTATTTTGCATTGTTATTCATTTTATTTTATTATTTTATTTGAAGAGTCTCACAGTCCCTTGTGACATTTCTTTCCATAAAATTTGCTGTGGGCTCCTAAGTAGAGTTTACGAAGGAAACACCACCCTTTATCCAATGACTACTCTCCAGCGATTTGTAACATAAATGAGTTTGGTGCATCAGAAGGTGAATTATTGCAGGTCTAGTTACATTGAAATTAAACAGCTCATCATTTGTTTTCCCTTGAAGCCCATCCTTCATTTGTTGTTTTTATTGTCTGCCTTCTTTTAGAACAACCAAAAAAATGTAACCAGTGTCACTCAACCTGTTGTATAGAATTGTTCACTGAAAACCTAATGAACTGTGTAAAACTTTCCCTGAAAACACAATAAAGTTGCATTTCAAAAAATAAAATGAGCAGGTTTGTAAAAAGCCTGTGTTTGTAATTGTAACAGACCCCTTCACTCCTACCTCCTTAAAATTACTCAATTTGGACGAGTCAACAGCTGTCCATTCTGCTGAAGACCTGTGAAAATGCTCCCAGTGACCGCCCCCCATCCACAGGGTCAACTAATTTGGAGCAGTTTCCTCGGGGATCAAAGACATCCTTTTGAGTATTTGAGGTTCTGGGAAGCTCCTCAGAAAGAAATACCACCCCACCCTACTCTCTGAGGGTGGGGGGGTCCATAAAGAAGTAGTTATTAAAGTACTAAACTGACCCTGCTCGCTTGCTTGTTTTTCTTTTCTTGCAGGAGCTTATTGATGTTGACAGTGAAGTGGTGTTTGAATTAGCTTCCTATATTTTACAGGTAAGTTGGTCTCCCTCCCCATGTACCCCAGGGTCATAGAGCGAGCAAAGGTGTTAGAGTGTCCATGGCCAGTGGGTATACCTCCTCGTTGTTTGTCTTCTAAGCTATTTCTAGTCCCAAGCTGGAAAGAGTTCTTTGAACCCTGTTACCATGCATGGTAGAAAATAGGGGCTTCCAAAGCCCCCCAGAGTTCGCGACAGCCTATCTCTGCCAGCAAGTTTGTACTGAACTTGAACCTAAGAGAAATTGAGATCCCAGTTCTCCTTGGAATTGTTGGCCTTCGAGATAGTGGAGGAGAAAGCCAAGTAAATAGCCAGGATTAATCGTCAAGAGAATCACCTCCACCCCTGGAAAGACAAAGAAAAGACCTTTAGTTTGTCAGGAAAAAAAAGAATGTTAGCTATAGCAGTGGCCAAGTGAGTGGAAATGATGCCATTCATGTATTCCTTCCACAACTATGGATTGAACAACGAGTGTGTTCAAGGTTGTGCACTAGATTCACTAAAGGTTCCCAGGTCCCTGCCTTTGAAGGTCTTGAGTCTGATGGGGAACTAATCCAGAGTGCAAAACAGAAAGTAGCCCAAGCGATTGACAGTCCTTCTCTCTCTCTCTCACACACACACACACACACACACACACACGTTGTGTAGATTCCATCTATAAACTAGAAAGACAAAAATGGATATTTTCATTTTGACATTACTGATCACTTTCGTGGTGTGGCGCTTCTAAATGTTGGTTTAGCATCTTGTAGTTCAAGAGGCAAGTGCAGGCCTCTCCGTCATATTCCGGAGGGCCCCGGCCCTTGTGACACAGGGTGTTTTCAGTGGAGGAGCAGGTGGGGGGTTAGAATGTCTGCGTTAGAGTTGGTAGCCCGGCCGTGGAGTCTTTCACTGACATTAAATTTTCTCTTTCACAGGAGGCCAAGGGCGACTTTTCTAGGTGAGTTCACAGAATTTGTTTTGTTTCATTTTGTGTTAGGAAGTCTTCAGTTATTTCTCTGTCGGCAACAGTGAGGACCACTCTTCTGTCTATCCTTTGGTAGAAAGACAATTTATTCATGCTTATTAATACCGAGAGCCAACTCGCAGCTTGTCGACTGAGAGAAAAGAGTGCGATCCGGCACTGAGAGTCCCTACTGTGTGTGACCATGATGAGAGAGTCTGGCAGGCGACCGTGGGCCCCACATCTTCTCTCCAGGGGAGTCTCTGATCCTCAAGGGACACGTCGCTATTCTTCCACAGGGAGATTTCTTTTAGGAAAGCATGACAGCGTAGGTGCCTTCTTCTGCTTTCCTGCCTTCTCGGGATATTCCTTTGGTGAAAACAAGACCAGAATGAACTGCTGGGACACTTGGGAACCGCCTAACGACCCTGCAGAACGGCCAGCAGCATTCTGACAGGCTTTCCATGCAGCACTGCCCACTGTCCACCACGGCGGATGCTGCCCATGGAATCCCTCACTATCATGGCAGGGAGTAGAAGGACACCTGAGGGGGCGGGGGCGGGGGAGGGGGTCGGTAAAGGGTTTGACTGCTAACCCAAGGGCTGGTGGTTTGAAGCTACCAGCAGCTCCATGGGAGGAAGATGAGGCAGTCTGCTTCCGGAAAGATTTATGGCCTTGGAAACTGTGGGGCAGTTCTACTGTCTTATGTAGCGTCGTCAGGAGTCGGAACCCAATGGACTCTCACACCATGAGCAATAGATTCACAGAG